ATTTGGAATTTGGTGAAGAAATAGATATGAAATTCTGAAATTTGATATCGGTGTACCTGTTGGTGGTAGGCTTGTGATAAAAAGGTGGTTGTGGAAATGTGCGCTACAAGTTCACGAAAAGTTCTAAATAGTACTGTTTTTGGTACAATTTGGTATAGGGGAACAGATAGTTCTGGAAATCTGAAATTTGTTATAAGGGTCGATGTTTATGTGTAGCCTGGACATATGGAGATGATTTTGGAAATGAGTACTAAAATTGTAGGACCTCACTAAATAGTACGGAATTTGGTATTTGGTGAAGGAATAGTGATAAAATTCTGAAATATGATATTAAGGTCCCTCTTGGTATTTGGAATTAAGATCTTGAGGTTTTTTTCTTTGAAAATTACTACTTTAACTGTACGAAAAATACTAAATAGCACGAATTTTGGTAGTTGGTGAAAAATAGGACACAATTCTGAAATTTGTTATTGAGGTCCCCTTTGGAAAGGTTTTCTTTTGGAAATTAATTTTTTGGAAATGACTGTAGGAAAGATGCTAAATACGAAGTACGAAACTGAGTTCTTGGTAAAAAATAGGGACACAATTCTGAAATTTGATATTGGGGTCATTTTTAGTGGTTTGTAATAACGAGCTGGTATTGGAAATGTGTACTACAAGTGTACGAAAAGTATTAAATGATACTATATTTGGTACAATTGTACGAGACGTTCTGAATGGTGCTATATATGGTATTCGGTGAAGAGATAGATATACAATTCTAAAATTGTATATTTAGACAACTGTTGGTACCGAGGTTGAGATCTGGGAGATCGGAGATGGGTTCGGAAATGCGGTCTATAGTTGTTCGAAAAGTACCAAATTCAATTAAATTTAGTATTGGGTGAAGGAATAGAACTGAAACCATGACATCATCTGATAAAAATATTTCAACGTACCAGATTTAGACTTTATCGACTACTTCTTTCACTTTTTATATGAAATGATGATAGGGGAAAAATGTGTCCAGATGTAGTCGGCCGAAGTAACCCACTACGAGTACGTCGAATGCTGATAAAAATATTGGAATAAAAATAGTAGTAGCTTAAGTTCAAGGTCTTCTGTATCGCATAATGGTTCTAATTTCCGAATTTTCAAAAATACCACCTCATTCAGCCCCCTATCTCAAATTTCAAATATGTTATCAAAAAATCTCCATGCTACAAAAATTCATTATGACCCTCTTGCAGAAGTTTTTAAGGCCCTTCATAAATAATCTACTTGGATTCTTGCACAAATCTCAAATCTCTCATTCATAGCCAATTTCAAAACATATTTTCAATATCCCTGCGATGATACAAATTCGACGGATAAACAAAACAAAAAAAAAAAATAACAATATTGGAAAATTTCAAAACTCCTTGAATACAAAAATTCAACAACCAAAGTTGTTTTTCAGATGAGGGTTCTATCCTACTTTAACTCCATTTCCTAGCGAAAACTTTATCTCTCTCTACAAATTGCCATTGTGAAATGAAATTCCTTTTTCTTTCTTTGGCAAAACTTTTCTTAAGTCATACTCAGATTACAATACCGGGTATTCTGGTAGTCGCATTGAGTCTAATACCATTTCAAATAATTTCAACAATTGAAAATTTTTGGAACAAATAGTTTTACAACATCTTATCTTCTTTTTGGATTTTCTTGGTTGCTCAGTTGGAAATCATCATTGCGTCTCTTTAGCCTGGTTGCTAATTTTTTATCGTCAAGGACAATAGAGACAATGGTCACACACATAGAACGAAAATAGTGCCGTAATTGCAAGGCGCTAGCTGGCGTTAGTCGGCGGGGTTTGTTTTGTTTCACCGAGTGTGTGTGTTTGTTTGTATCCCGATGGGAGTAAATTTTGTCTTGAGTGGTGAATGGTGTGCTGGTGGTGGTATGTGTTAGTAAATTGACTTTTAGTTAGACTAGGCTAACTAACATATTTCTGCCACCGCCACCACCATTTACCGTCACCAATACAACCACCATCTCTATATTCGTTGGGAATACACAACCACCATTAAACCTCTGTGAAAATTGGTTATAAACAATTTTTTTTGGAGTGTGTGTGTGGTGAGCTCACACGAATCAAAGAGAGTAACTTTGATCAGTAATGCTAATGTGGCGATTTTTATACCCTAAGCCATATGGCTGCCTTTATCATCAAAATGATTATATAAGACCCTAGGCCTGTTTGAACCAAATCCGATTCAGATCATTTAAAATCGATCTAGGCGTGTCCGTCTGTCTGGCTGATGCTCACAACAAGTCTCGAAGGGATTAGCCGATTTGGTTTAAATTTTTTTTTAATCATCAAAAATTTGGTAAATAATTATAAAATTTAGATCGAGCTCGGAGATGAGCAATATCGGTACATACCTTTTGGTACCTCCACTACAAAAGCTCAAAATCCGAAAAAAATTATCTCATAGAACAAAATAGGATCATCTGATTTTGAGCAAATTTCGCAAATCCTAATATTTTTATCAGTTCTAGACAATATTGGCCCACTCCAGCAAGTACACCCCCTCCACCACCACACAACGGGTCAGAATGATGAATAGGAAAAACGCCCATAAAATATGAAATACTCATCTGATTCTCCTCAAGTTTCGCACCTCAATATATCTACCAAAATAAGATCTGATATGAATAATGATAGGGCGCACTCCTCCATCCAGTAGCTTCCCTCCCAAAGGGGTTAAAATTTTGAATAATTTTAACTACCATAAAATGCGAAATAAGCATCAGATTCTCTTCAAATTTTACGAATCTCAGTACTTTTAGGAACGCAAGTTCTGGTATAAATTTAGAACGAATATTCTGGTACCTCCCCCGCAAGAGGGGTTAAAATTTTGGATAACAAAAAGACTCATAAAATCCTATTTGTTCATCCAATACCAAATTGTACCAAATATTCCACAACCAACTCTTCATAACAAACTTACCACCCGCAGGGACTCAAATTCCAAATTTCAGAATTGTGTCCCTTTTCCTTCTTCATATACCAAACATTGTACCATTTAGTGCCTTTCGTGCCATTATAGTACACATATACGTGAAAAGCGACCCCAATACCAAATTGCAGATTTCAAGCACTATCTTTTCACATAATACCAAATTGTACCATTCGTAGTACTGTTTAGTACTTTTCGTGCACTTGTAGTATGCATTTCCAAACCCACCATTTTTTCACAACCTACAACTAATGGTGGCTCCAATAGAAAATTTCAAAATTCCTGCTTCATCCGGTCACCCCAAAGGCAAGTGGTTCCAAATTTAGTACCATTTAGTACAGTTCACACCTTTAAGTAAACATTTCTACATTCACCTTCATACATACAAATTTTCCAAATTTGAGATATCTAGCTCTACTGCTTCCTCAAATACCAAGAATGTTCCCAATGGTATTTTAGGAGTCAGTATAACTAGATCTCTTAAATATATAAAGTACCTTTTAATTCATTTCATTTTAGTACAAAATTTCCTTAATCCCAGCCTTATCTGACTCCTGCGAACCAAGAGTGACCTTCACCCAAAATTTCAAGATTCTAGCTTCAGCCGTTTCGTCTGGGCATTGATGAATTGTTAAGTCAGTCACTCAGTCAATTACTTTACTCTTTTATTTATATAGATTTGGCGGTTTTTTCACTTCGATAAGTTTAGCCACACTGCCACAGTCATCATATCCGCTCTCTTTCTGCCCCCATATTAAGTAATGGTTGGTAGCACTCATCTACTGGTAATAGCCATTGCTTGAATGCTATATTTTCTTTATTTCATTTTTGGGTTAACTCACAATTATGCAGGTTGATGAGAATAGAGCAAACTGTATAAACTCTCACCCAGTCTAGATGAAGAGAAACATTAGTTACGCTATATTTGTTACGCTTAATCATGATTGCACATTTACTCATTCGTTGGTATCCCTTTTTCTTCACTGTGGGTTTCCATAGCTATTGTTATTGTATTACAATTGCGTGTAAGTGAGAGCCAGTTAGATGAATTGTTGTTTACCTGTCTCAATGAGAGAGTGTGTGTGTGGATGAGAGTGAACGATTGTCATGGCATTGTTTCCTGGGTAGTTTATTTGGTGTGTGTGTTCATGAGTGCTTGATTGTGGTGTTTTGCTGTTTCACTCTATCTCTCTCTCTCTCTTTGCCCCCTCTAAACTTTGCCATCCACAGTCATTGTGTTCAGTTACCAACAAAACGTTGAGTTGCACTTGTCGTTCCGTCGTCCGTTTCTACAACATTCGTTCATATATTTTTTCAACTGTTTATATTCCTTTTTTTATTTCACAATAACAACCGCAACAACAACAAAAAAATTCGAGAAAGAAAAAAAAAATAATTCACCTGCACCACCTGTAAAATTTTGTGACTAGCGGTTTTTCGTATTCTTCGGTATTGTCGGTTTCAAAGCAATGCTGTTTACTTGAAAGCAAGAAAAACGGCAACGTATAGCATTGTTTCGCGTTAAAGTCTTGAAAGGAGCACAACAAAAAATAATAGCAACAACACCACAATAATAAGAAAAAAAGTGAAAAAAGTATAACAAAATAAGAAATTATAAAAGACAAGCAGAACAATTGCTGCTACTACCCATAGAGCCTTCATAAGCAGGTGATTTTCTTTATTCTTCTGCTTTTGTAATAATTCTTATTTTATGTCTGTCTGTGTGTGTGTGTGTGTAAAGGGATTTTAACACATTCAGCAGGATTTGCCGAATGACTTTTGTCCATTGTTTGCTGGGATTATAAAGCATTTTTCCGATTTTTTTCTACTGTTTTTTTTTCTGCATTATCATGTTTCTTAAAACCCAGTAATTCTATTGGATTGTAGTTAAAGTCAAAAAAACACCTTCCTTTTCGGTAGACCATTAAATAAATGTCATGATATTTGAAAATTAAATAGAAATAGAAAATGAAATAAAAAATATTAAATACTAATCTCAATTTTTTTTTCTAATTGCAGGTATGTTTCTGACAATTTCCAGTGGATTATTGGGATATAATTTAAAATTCAAGATGGTAGGTTTAAGGGAAGTGAATTGAATGTGTGTTTGAAAAAAAAATTGGAAAAGATGAAATTAAATATATTTTTTAAAAAGAATAGTTAAAAAATCAAACTTAAATTTAAAAAAAAAGAATAAATAAATAATTAAAAAATTATTATTATGAGAAATTGGATTTCTTCCAAGTTGGAAAAAATGTATGTGAAAATACTATAATTTGAATAAAAAATTAAGTCATTGTTATAACAAACCATGGCAACCGTCATAACCAAGGCAACATAACACTAAGCCATACGAAAGAAAAAAAATGTTAAAAGGCCTAGAGAGTTCTAGTGAAAATATTGTGAAACTCAATTAGCTTATTTCAGATTGTGAAATAGACAGAAAAAATAAAACTAAAAGTGTTAAAAAAATAAATAAATAAATAAAAAATAAATAAAATAAAATAAATTAAAAACAAAAAATAATAAATAAATAAAAAATAATTATATTAAAAATAAGTGAAAATTATAAGAAATTGAAGTAAGTGTTTAAGAAAATGAAAAAAAAATTCTACAATTAAAAAAAAAACTTGAACCGTAATTACAAAACAGTGTGTGAAATCATTATGGTAACCATAGAAAATATGTAACAATGAAATTAATGTTTTCAAAATTAAAAAAAAATCCACCCCTAAAATCCCACTGTGAAAATTATTATATTTCCATGGTAACAGAAAAAGGACAATCGTGAAATTGACAAATTAAAAAAAAAAGTACAATAAATATATATGTTTTTACTAACATAAAAAAAATAAAGAAGTCATAAGTAAATAATAAAGCTAGTAATTCAAAAATAAATAATGAAATACAAAAATATAAAAATATAATAATAAATAAATAATGAAGAATATTAATAAATATATATAAATAAATTAAAAAAAAAAATAAAAAAGTATTCAAAATATAATAATAAAAAACAAATAGTAACACTGGGAAATTTCAAGTGATGATGATCGGTGTTCGGTTAGTAGATCAAAATCCCAAAAGAGTTTTGGGTTCCTAGGAAAATGTGTTTTCTTAGGCCCCATTGCATATGTAGCCTTGACCATAACCAAAGAGGACCTCAAATATTTTGCTCTACACTTCGCAAAATTTAAAAAAGATATTAAATATTAAATATGACACATGGGACATGTAGAATCATTTGTACCAAATATGGTTTATGTCGGTCTAAGTTTTGGTATATTTTTGCTAAAAGTTTTTCATACCAATTTCGTCAAATTTTGGTAACTTGAGTTCTTGGTAAGAGAAAACCATATTTGGACAAAAATTTACCGATATAGGGTCTTTTTTGGTACCCTTATATGAATGTTTCTTCTGATTTTAGCTATATTAGGGGTCTTGACCACATTTTTCAATTGAAGTGGCACTTATTTTGGCATATTTGTTTTCAAAGAGGGTGGAAAACTACTTCGTAGAAAATGTTCAAAGTTGGTTAATGTTTCGGAGTAGCGTCCATGTAAAGGCACCATCTGATTTTACCTATTTCGGGGGTCTTAACCGCATTTTCCAATCGATTTGGCTACTTTGGGGGAGAAAACCATCTTACAGAAATTTTACAACATGAGTATACATTTTGTTGTAGACCCCACAAAACGTTACCCCCCAAGTCCACGTTTCCAACCAATATTCTCTGGGAAAATTTGGGAAATTGGTAAAATTCCAAATAGATATGCTGGTATTAAGTCAGAATAGCGGAACTTCGAATGGATTTTTAATTCTCCCTCCATTTTTCTTATAATGTAGGTCGCATATAGATGTACCCTTCACGCCCCAGTTCCCAAACAATATTGTCTGGATATTGAGAAATTCGAAGTGGGGGTAATTACGGCAAATCCCTTAAAGGCTTTTGAATTCCCAGGCAAACATTTAATTTTATTTATTGATAGACAAAGCTCTCAAGTCTACTTTACGGACCTATATTCTCTTGGAGGTTATAAATACAATACAATACTTTTTTTCTACAAGAAAACGATTTTTCTTTTTTAAAAGAAATAAGTAAATGTTAAAAAAAAACCAAATTTGAAATTAATAATGATTAAAATACAGTATGTTAAAAAATAACAAATAATAATAATTATTTAAAAAATAATAATATCTAAAAAAAAAATTTAAGGAAAAATTATAAATAATCTATATATATAAATGAAAGTTGTGTTAGTTACTACGCTTATAACTTAAGAACCGCTGAACTGATTTTAATGATTCATACAAATTCGGAATTGTCTCTTATCCGAAAAGGATAATATCAAAAAAAAAATCGCGTAAAAATGTGATATATTAACATTTTCATTTTGACTTTTGAAATGTACAATAGTAATGTTTTATTTTGCATGATTTTTTCCATTTTGACTTACTTTTTTCTAATGTACATTTGTAGTGTTTTTTATAATATTTTTTTTTTCTTTTTGATTCGAATATTAATACCAATTTATTTTGACTCGATTTCTTGAGAACTGAAATAGAAGCCGGGTTACATTGAAGTGTAGTACCAAATTATGTGGTGGCGAAACGAAATAGATGTTATCGAAATAATTTAACGCGGTCACACCAAATTTAAGTCAAAATTTCTAAAAATCTTAAAAAAAGAGATCTCATTGCAAAAATTCTCAAATCGGGGAAAAATTACATAAGGTATAACTAAAGAACGGCTTGACAATTCATACAATTTTGGAATGGTATCCAATAAAAATATTAATAAAAAATTTCTTTTTGGTGTGATTTTTTTCAATTTGACATACTATATTGAAGTGAACATTTTTTATTGCCTTGAAATCTGAATGAATAATATTTAAAATAAAATGAGTGACCTACGTGGACCTACATCTTTCATATGGCAATAATCCGCCCAATGAGAACTCAAAATGCAATTCATTGGAACTGCAGTCAGTGAAATACCGAATATAAAGGGTGCAAAATGGTAGAGCGAATTGGACATTTAGGAAACAAGAAAGAAATTCTTCCTAAACTTTCAAGATGTCTTAAATCGCTTTTGCAGGTCATGATATATGACCCCCGGATAGGGGTACAACCCTATTTCAAGTATTGTTTACATTTTAACCACATTTTTCTCACACTCATTTTAATTTGATAAGAAACCATCCTCGCAAAATATGATCATGTTTTGGTATAACCATCATATAATTTAAGCCATGTTCGGGGTCTTCGACATTTTTTTCATCTTTAGGCCTTTATTTGGCATCTTTGTTTCTAAGGGTGTAAAAAACCTCTTCTCATAATATTTTCAATTTTCGGAGTAGAGTCCATCTTGGTCTTGACCACATTCATCAATTGATTTGGCTAAAAAATTGTATTTAGGCAACTCTGGGGTAGAGAATCGTCCCTCAGATAATTGTCCACATAGGCATTTATTCGAATATAGTTCTCACATTAGTGTACCCACAAATCCGCTTTCCTAACCAATGTTTGGTCAGAAAAGAAAATTTGATATACTATTGAATTTGAAACTCCAAAGAGAATATTGGTTGGGAACGTAGATGTGGGATTAACATCTACATGCCATAAACTCCGAAATATCAAATTGTGGCAGAAACATGAAAAAATCACGAATATTAATTTTTTTGTTCGTTATTGAATTATACTATGATGAAAAATATGGACTTTATGGGTTCTCCAACTCACAATTTAAATGACAAAAATAAATTAATTAATATTTCACGGTAATGGGTGTAAAAAAGCAATTATCTTTGACTATTTTGAAATCATTCCGCCCTCAATTATGAGGTGGACAAAACTAAATACCACGCAGCACGGTATTCTTAACATTGGAAATTCAATACCAAAAATTTAGCTGAGTTTTCACATGGGGCTATTACAGAAGTTCTATATCATACAGGTTTTTAACACTCAATTATAGCCTTAGGCTGAAAAATAAGATCAGGCTATTCAAAATATCTAAAACCGACGGTAGATTATTATCTATTATAATTTTTCCCATGAATGTTTATTTCTATTTAGAAATTACTATGGAGTTATTTTACTTATAATAAAAATTGTGCCGCTTTCATAATTCTATAATGCTTAAAAATATATGCATTATAGACTAAAAGTAGGGGCCGACAACGCGGACCGGGCCAGCTAGTAAGATATAAACAAAAAAGAATTAAATAATACCTAACGACTAAGAATAAAAAAAAAATTAAAATTAACAATAATTATTAAATCATGGATAATAAATAAAAATTAACAGATAATTTATTATAAACAATAACAAAAAAAATAAAAAATATATATATATTATAAAAAAAATACTAAATAACAAATAACAAAAAAAAATAATAAAAAATAAAAAGAAACACTAAAACTCTCTTAATACATTAATAAAAATTAAAGTAACAAATAATGGCAAAAAACAATTAAATATATATAACAATTAAACAATTTAATATAAAATAATAATGAAATAAAATTATGATATAATATATAAAATAAATAAAATTAATCTAATAAAATAATTGTAATAATAATAATAATAATAATAATAATAATAATAATAATAATATAATAATAATAATAATAATAATAATAATAATAATAATAATAATAATAATAATAATAATAATAATAATAATAATAATAATAATAATAATAATAATAATAATAATAATAATAATAATAATAATAATAATAATAATAATAATAATAATAATAATAATAATAATAATAATTCTAATTATACATATTCAAAAAAAATCCTAAGTAATTTTTAAATGTAAAGAAGATAGTGTGTATCGAGATTTCGCACTAAAAATAAATAAATAAACTCAAACATAAATTAATAACGAAAAAAGGAATACATCATTTATAAAAAAAACATGTTCCTTGGCAACTTCTAAAAATTCAAAAAAGTTTATACCAAAAATATGTGTATTGTGCGTGTTTTCTCTAAGGATTGAAAAACGAAGTGAATTCTCCATGGAAACAAAATAATTTGTGTCACGAACTCAAATAAAAAATATTGTAACAAAATATTCAGGGCCAATCAAATTACCATGGAAATACTCTTTCATAATTTTTATAAATTGAAAAAAAATATATTGTATAAAATATTTAAAAGTCACATGCATAAATGTTGAAGTCAAGTGAAATTTTAGACATTTTATTTTAAATTTGTTGAAAAATATGTTTTTAACATTTATATAAATTATATTTAAATAAGAATATTTAAATACCGAAATAAAAAAAACTAAACTTAAAGAGAAAACATGGATTAAATTAAAACAACCTAAATATGAAAGGCTATATCAAAGGTCGTAATAAGGACGCACAGGATGCGAATTCAAACTTTAATGTTTATTTGCTAACAAAAATAGCAAATTTTGAAAATTTAGTTGAAAAAAATTCCATCGGCG